AAATTTTATCATTTTCACAAATTGATTACCTGAATTTGTGTGATTACGTCTGTTAAGGCTTCTTCCATGAATGTCCATTTTTGGATGCACTTGGCCATTTCAACAAGTGCATTTCTCCTTCTCCATTCTAGATTATTTTTCACATAAGAGTAATGCGTATCTATGTTTTTACCCTCTTCTTTTCCATTGTGAATGGACCGCTAGAAAAGTACTTGTATATATTTTATGTATGTAAATATATCTCTCATAATCCATTTAAATAATTGATACTGTAATGCTGGCTTCAAATGTTGTAATTATAATATATCTTGTACAATCCATATACTTGTCTTTTTTTATTAAATATACGATAAAAATGAATGATATTCACATTGATAGTTTCAAATGCTTCATTAATAGTATTGTTGATATAATTTGAAGCGTTTGTTTTTATTTTTTCAAGTTGCACTTTTGAATCCTGCGATATTCGCTCTTCAAAAAATAATAGACCATTCAATGTAGTTTGGATGACTATATTTTCTATATCCACTAATTGCTGGAGAATTTGCGAATTCGCTCCCAATCTTATATATTGCATCTTCCAAGATGCCTTAAAAAAGACACATGAAAGCTTTGTTATTAAAATATAAAATATAAAAACGGAGATACTATGTATATATTTCTACGCACGATTTTTCTAGAGAAAAACGAAACAAAATTATTTTCTTATACTTTTTAATTATAAAAATTATTTAAGAATTGATAATATAAAATAATAGATGTAACTTTCAATCTTTCAAGAAAATATTAGCAAGACTTTAGTCAAAAAACGAAAAAAATCTATTATATTCTTTTTCTAAGTATTTATTTTATTTAGAGTGATTTAGATTTTTTTCTTCTTAAATATGATTTATTGAACTCACATGAACTGTAGCCAGCAGTGCCAAGAAAATAACGGTCTTCATTTTTTCTTTTAACCGATTGCGTTCAAAAAATATTCTTTCGATGCTGGAGACGGTGGAATCGTTAGTACCTGCAGCAATTACAGCAGCGTACTAAGTGACAGCAATCCAAGGGGCTACATTTAATCATGGCGACATAGTCATGGGAGAACGACTCATTGCCACTCCATTAGGCTATCGGGCGCATAGAGGACGTGTATCCTGGCACAGAGGAGATACCTAAAAAGCGTACTAAGTGACAGCAATCCAAGGGGCTACATTTAATCACTGGCGACATAGTCATGGAAGAACGACTCATTGCCACTCCATTAGGCTATCGGGCATAGAGGACGTGTACCCTGGCACAGAGGAGATACCTAGAGTGCTTTCAGTCCGAACTGCTAAGGGAACATATAAAAGACTATTATTTCATTTTTAGATCCAGAACAGCTTATGATAACGAATGATAATGTGACATTACCACTTTTTAAAACAGAGATTAATCTGAATGATATATAACTGATGTATAAGTGTTATCGAATATGTTGTCAAATAAGTTTCAATATTGTCTCTTATTTACAACAAGGAAATGTATTTTTTTGAAAAAACTTTAGAGATAAGAAATATTTTGTATTTGTTTGATATTTGTCTCTGAAAAAAAGATCAATGCGTAAGTTTCGGATCTCAGGAAAAAAGCACTTACAAAAGAAAAAAACAAAAATGATAATGTATCGTATACTACAATACAACATTGTAATTATCAGAACGTGTGATAAGAAAGTACAAGTATTTCCGATTTTATTATTATCATAAACATAATCTAGAAAAAATATATTTTTTATAACATCAATTTGTTTAAACGAAACAATAATTTTTAATTATTTTAAGCGAGTTCCTTGCTGTAAAGAATAATGTTTCTTTCATGACATGATATTATCTCCTTCATAATGTACCACAATAATATATTAGGTGTACAAATAAGTTTCCGCCGTTTTTAATAAAAAAAAATGAAGCATTTATTGTGAAAGAAGGATACATAATGTTTTATTGATGTAAGTCAAAATGTAAGTGCAAGTTCTTTTTGCGTTTGGCACGAATCTTCATTCAATAATGCTTCCAATTCCGCGTCTTCGTACACTTTCGGCCTTCCGCTATGTTCTTTGTCTTTGACGTCAAATTTACTGTTCTTAAATCTTTTTGAAACCATTCACGACAACTTCTCTCACTTAAGGCAGCCTCACCATATGCTTCTACAAGCAATCGATGAGCCTCAGCTGCAGATTTCTTCAAATTAAAGAAGTAAATCAAAAGTTTCCGCAAATGACGCTTATTCGGCTCAAAACTCGGCATTTTCGCACAAAAAAAATATATGATGCTGATACAAAATCGCTAGTATTTCAAGATTATGTTATTGACAGATGTCCAACCTTACGATATAGTATTTTACATCAGACAATTTTAACCATAGCTTGCTAGTAACGCCGTTTTTTGTCAAACGGCGGAAACTTATTTGTACACCTAATACTTAATGGGAGACACTATCGCGTCTCCTAATAAACATAAGAAAAAATAGAAAAAATATATGGAATTTTCCGGATTTTATTTGTTCCATTGTATTATTTTTCTTTTTTTAAATTCTTTAATCCATAAAGATTTTTTTGTGTCTTTTAAAGAAAAATTTCAAATTTATCCAGAATATACACATCAAATTTTATTTTGTCACCTTTCGAAAGGCAGTGGTAAATCATTGAGTATTTTTGCTATGAAAACTTCTGATATAGCAGATTTAAATCCAACGTTAAACACTCTATTTTTAATTCTAGAAGATGAAAATTGAAATAACAGAATGTAAAAGAAGCGTTTACGAATGTGATAAAACTTTGTTTATGCTTCTATTATTCTCCCATTATATCGATTACGTTCCGATTTTTATTTTCATCAGGGAAGTTATTATGGCAAAGATACTTTCGGTTTACCTTCCGAAAGATGACATCAAATAAAATTTAATATGTGTATATCGGACAATGACAGCATCAATACAGCACGATAATTGGTGCGCAATATAAATATAAATAAAGTTGATGTTCGTTAATCATTGCACATCTTTATATGTAAATTTTATTTGATAAATATTTCGCACGCATGTTGTACACAGAGACACCCTACAATTTAACGCCGGTTCCGAATGGCAGTTTTTGACAGATTTTCTTGGCAATAGATACTCTTGGTGGGTTTGCCATACCGAAGGAGCTACGAGCGCATGAAAAATTCTTTGAATGCCTGGGATCGAATCCAGGATCTCTGACATAGCAATTTGTGCACTATCCTGCGTTACGCTCTATTTACTCTATTATAGTTTTTAAGTCTGAAAGCCCGATTAATATTTAAATTTTACATTTTTGATATGTGTGTTTTGAGTGCTGGGTAAATTTGAACTGAGATCTTTTTCACACAGAGCAGCTATGCAATGCTCTAAACTACGATCACTTACTTATTTTTCTTGTTTTTAATATAATGTAGAAATAATTTAGACAAAATATAAGATAAAATTACGAAGGAACGAAGATTTACAAATCTATCTGACAAATCTAGCTGGCGAAATTGAAAAAAAAATCATTTTGTATAATCGAAGAAAAAAATATCTCAAGAAAAATTAACTGTAATTGTCAAAAACTTCGTTTAAAAACTTTCGTCCATTACAGTAAATTAATAGATTTCTATTTTTTTTAAACTAAAGAAAAAATCACTAAAAAGGATATTAAAAATGTATTATGATATAATCATAGATTGTACGTGTACGTATAATCAACATTTTCCTCATTTATTAGAATTCTAGAACTGTATTCTAAAATTTTTGAAAGTTCTATATTTATGGGGAAATATTTTAATATTTTTAATCTATAGAATAGGCACGTAACGCTAATTCTCAAGAAATATATAATTCATATAATTTTGCACCAAAAAAATTCATCATTAAAATACTTTAATTCCTAATCAATTTTTATTAATGAAATATCGACATCGAAGACCAAATATAGAATGAAGATCGATACGTATCGAATGCGCGCGTGTTAAAAAAATTGGTAGATTAATATTAAAATAAATTGGTTATTCATCGGAAAACAACATCCCTGTCATAATGGGTATCGTTCAAGCGCTTATCAACAAACACGAGCTCTTCATGACCTCAGTCACCCAGGAAGAACCGCTATGCGTTCCCTGTTTTGAGGAGGTGGATAGGAAGCCTGGTAACCCTAGCAGTTTCGAGGATCTTCATGCAAAAACCAAGGAGCTCTATCCGCAGAACTTCGAGGGCGCATATCTATTTTTGAAGAAAACTCTGAGCAAGCATTTCAACGTAACTTATAGGATTACCCTGAGTTCTGTGACACCGTATGGCCTCAAGGTCGGTGTGAATTATGTTGGTACCAAGCGGGTGGGATTTACGGAAAAGTACCCGGTGATCTCAGGTGAGATTACGCCCAGTGGTAATATGAGCGCTAGCTTCGTGCACACGCTCGGCTGCAGATACAGATTCAAGCTCGCTACACAAATCATTGACAAAAGATACAAGGCATTCAGTTCCGGACTGGAATATCGCTCGGACGACTGTACCTTGGCGCTCACCCTGGCGAATCCAGATCTCGTGAAGCTGCATGGCACCTTGGTGTTGCATTACTTGCAGGCAATTACGCCGAGAATCACTCTCGGCACGGAAGTCGCGTGTTTACGTGGTTCTCTGATACCTGGCGGTCAGCAGACAGTGATGTGTGCCGCATTCCGGCACAGTACCGGTCCCACCACGTTGTCTGCCACGTTCGGCGAGGCCGGCATCCACATTTGTTACCATCGGAAAGCGAGCGAGCAGTTACAGCTCGGAGTTGAGATCGAGACAAACACACGGATACACGAATCTATAGGAACAATCGTGTACCGCGTAAACATTCCATACGCGGACTTTATCTGCCGGGGATTCGTCAATTCGGAGACCAGCATGGGTGCCGTGTTCGAGAAGAGGCTGCACCCAATCCCCGGGGCCTCGTTAATGATAAGCGGCTTCTTGAATCACAAGAAGCAGCAATTCCGCGTCGGCATCGGCCTAAACATCGGCTAAAGAAAAATCAACATCCCTTAATCCCTGACCAGGAGTAAACAGAACAATACTATATACTGAAAATTTTGGACATTCAAAACGCTGCCTTCTTCGTAGAATCTTAGAAGCTTTTATTTCATGTATCCTGATATCGTCCGGATAGAAAAGAGATAAGCCGAAATAGAAAGTTTCATGTATATCTCTGATTCAGCTAAAAAAAAAAATCATTTTCCAAAAGTTTGGATATTGACATATTATAAGCCTCACATGTACTGGAATACGATTTTGATATGCACTTTTACAAACGAGAGAATATTTACACGCGCGGAACCTATTAAATATTTATATTGTTTGGAATGCAAGTTTTTTTTATAATAATATCAAACACAATTATATGTAATATAGTTAACTAATTTCACTCATTTGTTTTATAGAATGTAATTCTTTTTATACTCAATAAACAATGAACATTTTTTTAGAATTATGATATTTAAACAATAATGGCTTTGATGGTTTTTAACCGACATTAAGAAGACAAATTAATTATTTTAATCATCTCCATTAGCTATTCGTTCGTCTAAATTGTCTTGTTCTGCGTGCAAGGCCATAGATTTCAATTTATCGAAATTCGCTTCGAACTTATCGTTCAAAAGTCCATTTTCGTCGGCATATTCTAAGATATCACAGATTAACGGTGATTCGACTCCCAGAACGTATTCACATGTTTTTGGTTCCAATAAAAATAATGATACACTAGATGGACTTGCAGTATGGTTCTCCACACATTTTAATTTTACCTAAAACAAACGGTAAAGAAAATTAAATAAAATTATAGATATCTGCAGGCATTTATAAGAAGCCATTTTTTATTTGGAAGAAGATTGAAATGCAGATCAAAACTCAAGAATTTCAGCATTTTAAATATTGCAACAGACATCCTAATTTGGAAAATGTTTTATCAATTATTAAGAAAATATTCAATTTATTTTATTACAATCAATAAAAATATAAAAGTTTCTCTTATTATCATAAAATAAAATTGAAAGGTGATTTTTATCTTTTTCCAAATCAACAATATTTTTTAAACTTCATAGCAACGCATACTTCGGTTTGTCTAGAAGTTCCAGTCTTATCACAGCTACTTCCATCGCTGTAAAAGTGTGAGAGATGTTTCCTTAATTCTAATGGTTTAGGTTTCTTCTGTGGATGTGCGGCGATCCATTCCAAATGTTTCTGTTTGTCAAATCTACCAAGATTGACAATCGTCTTTGTACCATCTCGTTCTATGTGATACTGAACGACAGAACGTCCGTAACAAAACTCGTACTTCCACCAGCCGTTGCCCTAATAATTAAAAAAACACACCGTTAAAAAATACATTGTTCAACGAGAACAAAACGAGTAATAGCTAAAGACATACTCCGTGCAGGCAATTCTTTCCACTGAGGAAATTCTGGACAGGACTAACTTCGGCAGGACTAATATTCTGATCAGTTTGTATTGCACTGATAGATTCATCGATATTATCATGTTTATCTGGAACATCTAGTGGATGTATCTCAACCCTCACTCTTGGCTCGCCATCCTATAATCAATTCATTACAATAAATTCTACGCGATGAAACTATATAATTGACATTTATAAAAAAGATTTTACTTGATTATGAAAAGAATTATCATCGTGCATAGATACAATTAATGTGCAAACTGTACATGATGAACTGTAAATGTACCATGATATAATAGATCATTTCAAGTGCATATAAAGTAATTACATATTATTATTATTATTATTATTATTATTATTATGTGTTTCTCATTCTGCTGTTATTATTATACAACATAGAAATGATAATGACAACACAATTGCACAATATTTGAAGTATACTAGCAATATGTGTAAAGATAAGAAATTATATATATATGTTATATAATAATACTAAATATAATTTTATAAATGCCAAAAAGGATGAATTAAATATTGGTGAAGTAATAGTGGATAACGTATCGGAATATGTAGATTAAGAAGGGACAGAATGAAAATAACATTTGCACAAGCTAATAGTACTACATAATGATCAACAAGCGTTAATCCTGTTCCCATATATGCAAAATATTCTGACCTGGCCCTCCTTATCTACATGAAGGATTGCATACACTTTCTGCGGCTTGTCATCCTGTGCAACAAATAATTAAGACAGTAAATAAATGATAAACTGAAACGAAAAGAAAGAAATCAAATCCCTAGTATCGAAAACTAAAAGTTTCACAGAATACTATTAAAGTGCTATTATTTATCAAAATTATACAAACTTTAGTTTTAAATCTAAGTGTATTAAGTTTAAAGAATAAAAGCAGTGTTCTCTACAGTATTGTGAAATTTTGAGATTTAAAATCATTAACAAATTTTAGTATGTGACGCAAGCTTCTCTGTTATTAAGAGGATCTTAAAGTCATTCGTTTTATTGTCTTAACAAGATTTACATCATACAATTTATGTGTCATTGACACATTATTATACATTACTGCATCAATATCGCGCGCATTCATATGTACAAATTTTCTAAGTAACTAATCTTTCTTATTAGATATCTAAACCTAATAATTCTAAAAAAAATCAACATTATTTATGTAATCTCCTAACACAAACCAAAACTGTTTTAGATGTACAAAGTATAAAACTTGTATAGAAAGTAAATACTATTATAAGTCAAGCTGATAACAAGGTTATAATTTTCCAACTTTTTTCATTTTTGACATAAAGTTGATTACATTACTGTTTATACTTTATTTATGGAAAAGAATTTTTAAATATGTAAAGACAGTTAAAATATAAAAAACATAGAAAATAATCGGGGTCAATAAAACACATGACTTTAGAATCCCTTTAATACATATCGTTATTTTGCATATTTGGCTCAACTAATAAAAACAGAAGAGATATAGCTACTAATATATACGCGTAAACAAGATATAAATATGTGTCATACAATAATATTTCAAGGAAAGTAAAAAGTAAAAAAGAAGCTTAATAAAAGAGTCTGCAAATACGAAACTCTTTGCAGATTTACCCTCGCTTGCTGTCGAATTTTTAGACTTTCTAGCTCCATCATCATAAGCGACTTTGGTTTCTTTGGTGCATTATCCACAGGCTGACACGTAATTTGATTCTCCCCAGTATCTTGTGGTTTGTAATCGGGATGATTGCACAATACTGGCGATAGAACAATCGCTTCATATTCGCAGGACATAGTTTCTTTCAGCGAATACACATCGTGTTTACCATGTTTATAACAGACGTACAATACCTTGACAGTTCTCGGTTTGTTATTCAAATCACACATTGTACCGTCAGTCATCTCGATTTCGACGTACGGCATGTTAATCCCGTCGATCTTCTTGATGGGTATATATAACTTCCTGTTTGGATTCTTCGCCTGTTCATCATAATAGGCCGAGAGTTTCGTCCTTTGCGCTTTGTCCAGCGTGCCGAGGTAATATTCCTGCATTTTAATCTTTTTTCCTTCTCTGTCTTCATGATACTGCCGTACGTATCTACCGTGGCACAATTCGTAAGTCCAGTATGACTCTAGCTATGTGCCAAAATTAAATTCAGGTAAGAAATTAGTGACGAGCGATGTTTATTAATAAAAACCTACACAGTACATTTTATCACAGTACACTATACTTAGGAACGTCTTTGAAATGTTCTTAAGGCATAATTAGACTAGAGATTGAAATTAAAATTGGATTGGAATTTAATCAATCAGAAAAGATAAAATCAATCTCAAATTTAATAAACTTTGCTTTGATTGGTTAAATTCCAATCCAATCTCAATCTCAATTTCCAATCTGATCATGTCTTTAGGACTTACAGACATCCCTTGGTCTGTACTATATGAATCTAGTCAGTCAAGTTTGAAAACAAATTGCATCAAATGCTTGCTGCAAATTTTGTTGATAAAAAAGTACCAAATTAATGCAAATTCTATAATTCTATTGTTATATTTAATGACATCAAAATAGTGGCATATATATAATAAAATCCATTACAAAATGTGACATCAAATTATGACAGCAAAGTTTGCTGACAATCTGACAGCAACTTAACAGCAAGAACCAACCAAAATCAAATTTTTATTAGTTTTTGTCAACAATTTGGTCTCTTATTATATCAAGCAAGCTTTTTTATCAGCACAATACAAGCTTAATACAGACAAGTTTAATACAATTGATACCAATTTGCTGAACATTTTAACAGAATTTATCAGCAATTTGTAGACAAATTGTTAATATTTTACTGACTACAGCCAATATTACATTTGTCATACAACAAATCTTTCACATTTAATTAAATAACAATAGAATAGAGATTCTAAACCTTAAAACCTCTGTCTGTTCTCTAAATTTTTTGAAGTAAGATTTACTCCAAAGAATTTAGAATCAATTAAAATGCCTGAAAAAGTTGTCATATGACAAATATAATGTTGATGGGAAATGTACCATAATGGGAATGTACCATAAAAAGAAATTAATATCAAGAAAAATGAAAATAATAGATGATATAAATGCCTGTGTCACGTACCCTATAAGAGCAACTATTTTGAGCAAATATCGGTTGGAGTAGCTGTATTGGATTTGGCCCATCATATGTCTCGCTATATTCATGCTCCTGCTCGGTCGCGTCCGGGATGACGCACTTGTATCGCTCGTTGTTGGCGGTGGTTATGAAATACGGCTCCGCGTTCGCGTGAGATTCCTGAAAGGGAAAAAAGACCCGGAGCACACGTCGGACAAATGACGGTATCGTCGCTCGAGAGTCCACGGGGATCGATTAGATAAGATCTGCGCCGGGTGTACTCACCAGTAAATCTGTGTCACTCGTTGCGGGCCAGTTGATCTTGAATATGACCGTGTCGTCGAAGTGCCTAAAATCGTGTCCCTGAACGAGAGTGATCAACACACACAACACATTATAGACATCCCAATAGTTTCCCCACATCTTTCTCGGTTATTCTATCATGTCATATCATGTTTTGATCGCCAATCGCCGCGTATATGCCATAAGGTAATGTGCGTCAAACATGTATATAATTGACAGCTGCGCAGCCTATGCTTCGTGTTCGCTCGCGATTGCGCGACGATTAATGGACGGCGTGGAGGGGGACGAACTAGGATGCGTCTTCATTCGAAGAAGGAAAAATAAAAAAGAAGCGGCGCAATTGCACATCCATTCACATCGGTCGGTACCTAGTAATTTTCCAGTGTACCACCAATGGGTGCATTCAGTACTACTCGACCGCTGACTGAGCGCTCAATGAAAGATGTGAGAAATTGACATAGCGAAGGAAAAAGCGGAATGTGATTCTTGTCGGAATGATTTAATTAGTTCCTAAATTTCTATTTAAAGTTATTTCACAAATTTCAAAAACTTTTCACACTTTTTAAATTCTAGATCTAAAATTCTAATTGATGATATAAAAGAATACACCAATAACAGTGAACGCTCGCTCAATTGTTGGTCCGCTGAACGCAGCCAATGAGCGAATATCAACATGAAAAGGTACCTTTAGTCAACCAACTTCCGAGAAAGTTCACGTTTTTGTCACCAGGTGTTTCCGCTGATTCAGAGTCAACACTCGTCACTCTTGTCGAGCTTTGACAATACACGGACGTTCGGTTTCATGACGAGAGACGGCTCGACGCATCGCGGGATATTTCGCGGAGATTCGGAGCAATTTTTTTCCCCTTGTTTCTCATCCGTTCTCAGGGTCGACACGAGGAAACGAAACGCGTAATATCTCTCAGTGGTGAACAAAGCAATGTCGGATACACGGCGACGTCGTAAATCCAATCAGTCATGTGGTTCCGACGATCTCTCGGATTCGTACGAGGAGCTAAACGCTACGAAAGAAACTCAAGTAAGTGGAACTCGATTATCGCCGAGAGGGTAAATCCCTGAGAGACGAATCTCGATCCGCGTGAAGGATCCATCCTCATTTGCTCGGATTAGCGCTGCGTTTCCGCGCGCGCTTCGCGATTTTCCCCCTAAACCTTAGGCGAACTTTCTCTTGAAAGATCGAAGACGAAAATCTCTCCAGCTGAAAACATGCAGCGATTAGGAAGACCGATTATTCGACGCTTATTAATTTTATCTTCAATCAGTGTCATGAAAGTCTATGCTTTATGGCTTAATCGTGGAGGTCATGGACCAGTACTGATAGAGATTCTCCAGATATCTTTTTTTTATGAATATATTATTTGTAGTTTGGATGTTTCTTTCTGATATTTCTACAATTTTTTATCGTTTTATCAATTGCTTCATCTACTTTCTTGCTTTTAGCTAAGGATACTTTAACTAAAAGAGAAGGAGAGAGATAGAGAGAGAGAGAGAGAGAGAGAGAGAGAGAGAGAGAAAGAGAGAAGGGGGAGGGGAGAAATTATTGGCTTTTGATTTGCTTGGATGTATCAATTCATTCAGAATGAGTTGCATTCAATTATTATATTATTCTGTTAAAATTGAAACTTAGTCTTATTTGTTAGTCAATCTCTAAGCTTTATTTCATTATTTAAAATTAATTAGCAAGATATGTATTATTGGATATTATATTAGGTGTTGGAATTAATTCGTAGCGTTTTTTAATGAAAGAATGTTATTTATTTCACATGAGCATTAAAAAATACATTAATGAAAGTACTTCCCATCACTTGTAAAATGCTACGAATTAATTCCAACACCTAATATTATAATAGAATTAATAAAAAAAATGTTACAGTTAATCAAATCTTTCGTTTGCAGAAAGTTAACTGTTAATCTGCAAAAGAATTATTGCAAGATTAATTGCTAGTTTAGATATATATTTTAATATATACTGTACAAAAAATATGAAGAATAAAAGATAGTGAGAAAGAGATAAGGAGAAAAAAATCAATTATTTCTACTTTAGTTAGTTTATGTAATTTAACAGGATTATATACAAAAGCATTATTTTCTGCTTTTTCTTTGATCATAATATTGACTAAATAAAGATTACACAGATAGCTAATCAAAGGAATCAATAGGTTGAAGATAAGGACTAATCGTAGAAAAATGAAAAAATATTTATGTATATAATTGATACATATTAAAAATACAAAATTGATAAATAATTAACACAAATAAATTTTGATTGACATTCTATTGATATATATTTTCAAAAATAATTTGAAATCAGTTCGAATATATTAGGTGTAGTAAAAAGAAATCCATTATTTTTCTAATAGATCTCGTCTACGCGTAATACAGATTACTAAAGCCATCTGTTGGAAAAATAATGGATTTCTTTTTACTACACCTAATATTATATTGACCAATCTTTTTTCTTTCTATAGAGTAGTGAACAAACTGATGGACATCAAGATTCAGAATGTGACATTTATGAAAGCGACTCAGACGCCGAATCACAAGAAGGCGGGGAACAACGTGAAAGTGGAGATGGGCAAGAAGAGGAAAAACCACAGAAGAAGTTGGACGATGACGAGGATAGACGTAACCCGCAATATATACCGAAACGAGGAACGTTTTACGAGCATGATGATCGTACAACTGACGAAGTAACTGAGAATAACACAGAACAGCAGACGAATGCAAAAGAAACCAAAGAAAAGAAGGTGTGGAAAGATAAGGAAGACAGATGGGACCACGATCGATACAATGACGAAGAGCAAGCTCCAAAAAGACCTGAGGAATTAATAGCAACATATGGTTATGATATTAGAAATGAAGAAGGGCCACCTAGAGCTAGAAGGAGAAGAAGATATGGGTGAGTTTATTACAGAGTTTTGTTTTCTTTAAATTCTGATTTTTTTTTTAATTATGTTATATATATGACATATTTTCTCACACAGTCGTGGACCTAACAAATACACAAGAAATTGGGAAGATGAAGATGCTTATGGAAAGACTACAACTGGTAGAGGAAATAATAGACGCTTCCATAAAAATAACGAAGATTTTCCCGCTCTTGGTAATAGTAAGGTAAATGTCGCGAAATATATTATACAACGTTGCTTATCACGATTAATTATTACAAGTTTATCAATTTTTCTTTGTGATATAGAATACTCCAAACAAAGTAGAGGAACCTGTAATTTCGTCAGCTTGGTATAGCAGCAAGAATAAAACACAGAATAAAACTCAAAACTTCCCACCACTTCAATCTCAACAGGATAATGCAAAAACTAAGCCCGCTATTGCTTCCAATACATCCACGTATGTGCAATAGTTTTTTTGTATTTATAAACAAGTTTTTTTATTGGTAAAAAGGTGGTATTTTGACGAAAATGTTATTACAGAAGTGAAAATAAGGCATCAGATGAATCGAATAATACATCCTGGAAAAAGGACGGTAGACACATTACTCAAAATCAAAATACAAATGGAAACACTGGTTCTGGCGGTGATGCAGAAAAGTTGACTAATACCAAGCCATTATCAAGGGAGAATAACAAGAGGAACACCCAGGAGTCTGTAAGCTTGGTCGCAAGTAGGACGCGTGGAAGAGGTTTCAAGTCCAATGCTAATAACAACATGGTCACTAACAGAATAGTTGAGAATAAAGCAAAAGGGCGCGGCCCGGGTCCGGTTACAATAGAGAATCGAAGAAATAATACCGCGCAGCACAATGAAGAACACCAGCTTGCTCATGATATGAAACAACAACTTAATATTAATGATGGTAGTCAGTATCATCAACCTGCACGACACAACAGTGAGTTTTTGTCAAGTACAATGGTATTTAAGGAATAAGAAATTTTATAGATATATTCATAATAAGTAAATCTTTGATGATAAAGATCATCACATATAAAAAGGTTTTATGCAAATTAAACAATTACAATTACGTTTTAGAACGCTTGATTGAGCGATATGCTTATGGTTTACGAATTAAATTGTTTATATATACTAGGTCTTAAGACTTGTAAAGAATAATTTAAAAATCTAATTTGATAATTAAAAATTTGAATTAAATTTATGTAAAAATGGAGTTTGACATACTGAGAAACATCTTTAGAGATATAAATGTAAAAAAAGAAATTGTTCCTTCTTCCTAAATCAATATCTTCTTATTAATGGTTTTAGCTTAAATTTTTATAGATGCGATGTCTAATTTTTATTATTTTCTTCTAATTTATATAGAAGGTTTTTTCACATCCACCAATCAACACAGATCAAACACAGTACCCCCTAGAATGCAACAACAACAACAGCAACAACAACAGCAATCACATCAACAACAAACGCATTCACCACAGCAAACATTACAGCAACAACAGCAACAGCAGGATAGTTCTGGAAATAGACCTAAACGATATTCCAGTCTTCGTCAACGACCTACTATTACAGAAACTTCCGCACAACAGAATTATCCATCTCAACATGCCCAACATGGATATTTTCCACCTCAAGGTAATGATGCATATTGATACTTTATCTTTCTTTAACGCATGTTCCTAATCCATTTCTTATGATATATGCTTTTACATGGCCTAATACAAGCATGTACTTAAAATTAATGTGTCGCTTGTGCATACGCGTACCTAGCTGGAAATTCAAGAGCCGTTCTAGAATCTCAAGGTAAGAAAAAATTATATACGTACACACATACATATATGTATAAAAATAAAAATATATATATATATAAATTATTTAATTATCTCCATCTAAATATATTAAAAATAATATATTATTTTCAATTATTTGAAATATTGCAAAAATTTATCATGCGTGAACGTTGCAGGTTATCCCCAAAGTCATTTTGAGCAGTCTTCTTCGGTTGCTCCAGCCACAGCACCTATGGCAGGGCAACCTGTTATTTCTCTGCCGCCTGGTGGACAAGCTGCTAGCTACGCACCACCACCATTCTTAGTACCACCACCGCAATTCATACCACCTCAAACAGCACCACCTAGTATAATTAATTACGTTCCCGGTCCAAATGGCCCGACATTTCCACCAAACTTTCAAGGTTATCAGGGATATAATCCTTCAGTACAGGTGAGAAAAATAAATGTTTATAAATACCAAAAAGAAAAAGAGAATCGTAAAAAGATAAGAACATATGAAACAATATGAAACAATATGAACATTCTGTATTTAATTTTGTATACTTTAATACTGCAGCCTCAGGGTCCACCGCCGCCCCAAGAATTGTTCCAACCGCAAGGATGTACTTACTATAGTCCTGCGCAACAACAGCAGCAACAGCAGCAAGCAGCTCCTTTGCGGCGACCGAAAGCAGCGATACCTATTCTTCCACCACCTGATAATCAGCAGAGCGGTCGAGGAAGAGGTAGAAGCACTCAGTATCAGAATAATCAATCTAGCAGTAACACGCAACAACAGACTGAACAAGAAATCAAGAGTGGTAACATGGTGGAAAGTGACGAGAAACCTGTGCCGGGACAATTCGACAGTGCGCAAACCGAACAGCCAAGCACATTGAATCAGGAATCCCAGAAGGATCAAGATACGGAAACGATCAGAACAGTGAACAATATGGACGAGGAGGTAGAGATGATTACCACTGCTGACTCTCATATAAATATTGACATGTCACTCGTTAAAAAAGATAACTTGGACGATAGCGTCAGTGTTAAGGAACTATTAGAAGCGACTTCTAATGAAAAGAATACGGTTTCGCACAGTCCAACGACATTGGCTAGCGTTGAGACTGAATTAGGTAACATTGAATCCGCGATTCCCGAAAGTACCATTGTTGAGAAAGCTGCAGCCTAAAAAGTGTGATTATTATTGCGCTTCGTATTCACACGTCTCCCGCGATTTACTGCGAGTTGAAGTGTCACTACATGGATTATACACAACACGCGTGGGCGAAGTCTTATAGTTCAATTCGCATATCCATAATTGTATATTTATTCTGTAATGCAATTGCGCATGTAATCTTCGCTATAGAATCAGGGACGCAGAATAATTATTAATTCAGCCAATTTATATTTGGGGAAGTGTGTTAGTGAATTCATTATATTTTATAACAGATCGAGAGACGTTAAAATTATGTTCTCGAATGCAGTTATTGCATTAAACTAGCTATCTGACGTGTACGTCGCGATTCATAGCTTTAAGGCCGCTGATCCGCCACTATAGCCATTTATACATTAATTTAAAAGCGAAAGATTATATGTGATTTATTTTGCGGTATTTGTTTTATATGCTTTATATTTTGGATCAAAATTAATTAAAGCCTTATTCGTGTATGAGTTTCGTTGAAAATGAGCTTATGAAACACATATGAGGTAAGAGACCATGATACATACAATGCATAAATTAAATTAAAATTGCGAAATAAAGTAAAAAAAGATTCATTTCCGTAAAAGAAAAAAAAACGAGATTCGTTATTTTCCGACATTTATTGTCGGGAAATTTTCTCTTTATCGAAATGGATTTTTTCATACAATAATAACATGACTGCAGTGACGGATTCGAAGCTTTGAAAGCTTTATTGATTTATTACCTAGAGGTAAAGAAATTTTTCAAAGAATCGATACACGAATTAAACTAACTGCTATTAAATATAAGTTTAAAGCATGTAAAAAACGTATTAACTTATAGGAACTATAATCCGTATTTGTAATAATATCTAAAATAGTAGCCTCGTGCTAACGTTATTGCCTGGATTATGAAATAATGATGAAATAACTTTTCATATTGAAGTCTACCTATAACTGGTCATTATTTAGCGAGGAATGTTAATCGTGTATTGATATAATATACTCTGCGCGGGCCATGACTGCGACACGTTATAACTGACATGTTATAATCCTATATACATATACTTTTTCAATGTTATGACTACCTACAGAGCAGAAATGTTTGTAGTTATAATATTAACAAAATACAATTCATTGAGTAACGTAAGTGTGCATCTTTGTACATGTATAAAAACAATTTTCTTTTTTTTTATATGCAATTTGAATAACATTTAACATTTTTGTTCTTTCCATCTGCCTTCTTAACGCATTTCTACACTCCTCTTTCGATTCCCAGCCTCGTTTGAAAAAAAAAGAGTGAGATAAACTAACTAGTTAGTTTATTTTACAGGACAGAAAACGTAAGAAAGTAACAGAAGTGAACAGATTTAATGTCTATTTAGTTTTTTCTTTCATATTATAATGAATCCTTTTTTATTATATTTTATTTACATGCTTTAAGTTTCACTAGCCGTTTTTGCACGTTCTATAGAGATACAAATCGACCATTGTCATAAAGATAGTACAGAGTATTTTTTTTTCTTTCGCAATATCAATATTTGCGCATCTAAGGTCTAACTTGAATATACTAGAGTATTTAATTAATGAAGTAAGACAATTATTTTTGCAAATATATTACAAAAAACAGCGAGAGAGCGATTGAGACAAAACGATCAATTAATTTTGTTTCTAACTCGCCATGATTAATTACATTTAAGAGTATAACTACACAAAGTTATACAAAGCCTTAAACAAAATTCTTTGAGAAAAAAATAGAAACTTTCGGCAGGAAATTTATACATGATAAACGGCACTTCTACGCAATAAAAATGTAAATGTAAGTGGAAACGAAGCGAGCATAAACACATTCGCTGTAGCATATTGTACAGTTTATAAAAAAACTTATATATAATATCACTAGTAATAACTTTATATAATATAACTTTAAGCTTTAAACGTTAGGATTACATACACTTTATTAAACTTTGTAGATATATTTTGATTGAAATGTCGAATGTATTATAAGAAAAAAGATAAATATTGCAAGTGACACGAAAAAAATGAGGTATAACTGCTTTAAGTGCCGGAATAGGTATATAACGCTTTATATTTACACTCTTACGTTTACTTTTTTGGAATTTTATCATGCGTCTCTTTAGGTCTTCACTCAGTTATCAATCTGTGATGTACATTGTTATCTACATCTATATCTACAGTATAATAAAGTAAAATGTTTAAAGCAGCAAATTTTAATAATATCGTGCGGACTCATGTACATTATATAATTGCCTATTACATTAATTGAATACTATACAACTCAGTTCATCTCGATTCAGCAGAACTTCGAGAAAGTTCATTGCGAACGAGGTTTACTTATATAACAGTTTATATAGGAACTACTTGATTACATTTATGGATGTACTGAGCTATTGACTTTAGAGAGATTATACCTTATTCACTGTACACAAAGCGCAATTCGCCAAATATTCTTTTAATTACAATTTTCTTCGATAATAAATATGAACTTTTTCTTCTGAAAATGATCATTTGTCGCAATTTTTCTCAATTTTTACTTACTTTTTACCTACCGTTTCGTCTTAATCTTTTAAGAATCAGTTTCTTTCAATCGTTAATTATTGAAAATCTGAAGATGTCTTGGTACGTTAAGAGAAACTGGATTCCATTGGTTGAAGAAATTGCGTAGAAGAATATTTGGCGCAGATTTAGGATACGAGGAACGAGACTCACTCCTGTTTCTCGTTGTTTTGCGCTATGTTGATTATGGCACTGAGAGGTATGACCTCGGTGCTTTGCCGAACATTATTATTGTTGGACATGGTATGATTCGACCTCGTGTAATTCCGAAATCTCTGTTTGAGCGGATCCGAGATACCCGTGACGTATCCGCTTTTATGGACGCAGGTCCCACCGTTGTGGGAACATCGGAAAGTACGTCTGAACTCCTTGCGAAACTTTCCTGCAAAAAAAAAAACGTACACGTATCGTGTAATCATCATTTGAGTTTCAGATCGAGATATCTACCTTTGTATAACGTAAAAGAAAAGTGCGACATAGATGAAAAATATAAAAATTATGCGAAGCATTAAATTGTGATCATTTGCTTTAAAAGAAAATATAATAAGATTTGTGATCTTTGACTTTGTACAATACATTAAATTTAAATGCTGCGGAATTTTCTTAGCATACAGGACATTGCAGTCAATAGATAAGCGTGAGAAAAATGAAATGTAAAAGGCTTATGCGGTAAAAATTTGACACTGTACATTCCAATATCTACAATATCTACAGTCTTATGCTATTCAGGATTTTAATTTTACATAATGGTGTGAATTATTAAATATTATATTTTACGAAAAGATTGAATGGAAGGGAATAAAATATAATCGAGAATTTTTAAGGTAATTGCTAACTTCGAAGATTAGACATACTTAATTTAATTTTACTTAGTATATATTTTACTTAGTATATATTTACTTATTTTTGGCAACGTTTCACTTGACGCTCGTAAAACTCTTTAAATCATTTTATTTTTATTGTTTATCTAATATTAAACGAGGACAAATGATGCTCGCGAGCATTGTAAGCGTCGAATGGAACGCATCCTTATTGAGAAGAAATTACAGCGATTGTTTATTTGAAATAACAATTTTTCGATATTTCAAATTTCGTTCGTAAACTAATCGACTGCTGCGATTGGTCCACCGTTGCGTTGCAATCGCTCTGACAGATCCGATCACCGTGATTGGCTCGCGCATCGATTGCAGTATCGAAAGTACGATATTGCGATTCTCGAAGTCGGTTTGCGCGGTCAAAAGTCCTGGAAGCCTGCAACCTGTAACGTATCGTAGCGCGTTCGAATCTCTCCGTCTTTCCATTTCTCGTTAATTTTCATCGTTTGAAAGTGAGTTTTGTGCGCCAGGAACTGTCGGAGATGTCGCGCACGAAATTTATTATAAGGTAAGCGCCGTGTTCTATCGCTATTTCACACGATCATTATGATTTTGTTATCGGCGGCGATTTTGTTATTCTTACTTACTTGATACTTGGCGAGGACAGACGGGAGCTCCGTTTTTGTCTGTTTTCTCTCTAAAGTGAATCGAAGTACATCGAAAAGATAATGTGATGTACGACTGCTTTCAGCATGTTTTGCCTGTCATTAGGCCTGTTCTTTTTTGGCTGAATTTTTGCACCAGTTCATTTTCCTTCCTCTTCTTTCCTCTTCTTTCCTCCTGGATAGAAAAGGAAGAAAGATAAACTAGTACAAAAGTTCAGCCAAAAAGAATAGGCCTATTGTTTCATAATTAGCCTGCTTGAATTACATCTTCTTTTCTTCGTTTCTTCTCTTTTTGCAGAGAATCTCACGTGGAGATATGATGGAAAAGAATATCGGTGATGACTGATCACGAACAGGAAATTGGCATTCAGCCATTCCAGGTAATTTGAATTTGAATCTTGATCCTTTCTGTCCTAATCGTAGAAATTCCAATTTTTTTATTCCAACACTATTTAATATGAATTTAAGCTTTGTGTCCACAATGTTAAAAGTCGCTCTGAAATTTCGATCAGAAAATAAAATCATTTGAATAACCATCACAATGCGATTGATCAATTCTTTTTCCGTTTGAGATTGATTTTTAGTATTGTGAACATAAGATTTTAGTGGCTTAAAAAAAGCCAATATCAGAAATTACGCATTGGAGATTAAATTCAGCTAATCAAAACGGAAATAAAATAAAATAAAATAATTTATTATTTTATTGATATTAATACTATTATTATTAACATTAATTATTATTTTATTATTTAAATTATTCTTAAAATTCTATTAAAATTTAATTTATTTGATTGATCGAACTCGAATTTTTAGTTCGCTACCTCAATTTGCAGCGCTCGATGCGGTCTTAATGTGCGCCATTGTGCACCCGAATTCGCGTTAGATTTATTCATGTTGCTTGTAAAAATATTTGCACTTGAAGCCTGTTGATTGGCTGTAGGATAGAAAAATTCCCGAATTTTTCTGTTCTATAATTAGTCAACAGTGCTTAAAAAATTCGTCGTACGACACATGAAGTGTTGGTTTTCAGTAAGTAACAAACGACATTTCGGTTATTGAAGAGAGAAAGCGAAGATTCTGAGTGCAAAAAGTGCAAGCAACGCGGGAGATGCAACGAAATTACTACGCCGCGATTGGCCCATTTCAATACCCGCGAAACTTGCTACGTCACGCGCTCCCGCTGTCGCGATTGGTCCGCCACTTCGATACTTCAATCATTTCAAATCGCCGCCAGTTTTGGGAGACGCCACGACGGTTCGCGAAGTCGCGTTCGAATCGCTCGGTATTTCTCGCGTAGTTTTGCTTTGTCAAGAGTGAATCTCGCGTGTGATGTGAAGATCGAATTGTTCGAAATATGCGTATGAAATTCATTATTACTTGAGTGTCGTACACGATCGCCAATTTCGCGACTTCGGTACTTATTGACGCTCCTCTGCGTTTCGATTATTACGATTCGGTGGGGAGGAATTGGAGTCGATTGGAATCATTCTCTGTACTAATTATTGATTTAGCTTCTCGCCGAGGTGCATCGGAAGCGTGATTGCCGCTAGGTAATTATTATGTTCGTAACCTAACTACATTGATTTCATCTTTTTATAATTTTTGATCTAAATAAATATTTCGAACTTCACGTATGCGTAAGATGGCGGCTCTGTTCACAATTCGTACCAGTCGCGTCTCTTTTAGACTTATTCTAATGACGCCCGATGCCGCTGTATACTCGATTTTAATTGAAGTCTGATTTTTCATCGGGATCATAAGGTCACGAAATATTCATCCGTTTTTAATATTTCGCGAGAGAGGGAGGGAAGGGGGAGGGGAGGGAGAGAGAGAGAGAGAGAGAGAGAGAGAGAGAGAGAGAGAGAGAGAGAGAGAGAGAGAATATCACCTTCGAAGATTTAGAATTTTCAGAGCGATTTTGATTCAATTGAGCGTGAAATCCGTAAATCACAGATAACTTCTTTAGTTTAGTTTTTCTTAAATTTCGTTAGGTTCATGAACATGATGCGAATGCTACGTGCGGTTATCATTACATACAGATATCATTTGATATAAAATTACATCAGGGAGTTGCTGAATGCGGACACAAAATTTTTGACGTTAATTGAATCTGTTCTATTAATGCAAAATTAACTTTAATCTCGGTTCAATTCTTTGTTTTATTTAATGCCCGTTTCTATCATCGTAGTTTGATTTTAGTCTCGATTCAATTAACTCATAATTTTTTTCCAGCCCTAAGAATTAGAAAAAGATAAAGAGTAAGTTAACTGAGATTAAAGTTAATCTTACATTGATGGAATCGGCTCTTACGTTTGTGGCACGTTTCTATTAATATAGATTAACTTTAATCTCAGTTCAATTTATTCTTTATCTTTTTCTAATTTTCAGAACTGGAAAACAATGAAGAGTTAGTTGAATGTTAGCTGAGATTAAAAAATTATACTATATTAATAGAAATGGATCTTTGCTATCAATGTAGAATAACATTAATTTCAGTTTAACTTACTTTTTATTTAGTTGTGTGTGTGTGTGTGTGTTCTAAAGATCGGAAAAAGATAAAAAGTAAATTAAACCGAGATTAAAGTTAATCCTACTCTTTGTAATACTTTGATAGAAATGGATATTAATCAATTTTTATGATTGCTTCTATCGAATTCTATTTGTATCTACTTAAAAAAGCTTTGTTTGATTTTATCAGTAGATGTTCTATCAGTAGCTGGATAAGCCTCCGGGTATTAGGAGATTTGGAATCAGTTCTCTCGATCTTCTGAAGAAGTTTGAAAAGTTAACTTCGATATCGACGACCATTGGCTTCTGTATTCAGAGTATCGCTTTCAGGAACTCGTTTCCATGTATTTCAATTAATCCCTTGTTAGATATGCTCAACATGTCCGTTATTCGTTCACACACATCAATTCTACTAACAGTTCCTTCAAAGGCATTTTGAATTTGATTATTTTTTGTATTAAATTATCACTATTCGTTTTCGTCACACTTTCGATATTCACACTTTCGATTTGTAACGTTTTCCTTTCTTTCAAAAATGAACATTTCATGCGAAACACGATAATTTTGGAACGTAATAATTATTAGATTCAGAGTCATTTTTCGCGATTGCTATCGTTTAAGAGTAAATCTCTTGCACGTGGAAAGACGTGCGTCTCTTTCAAAGTATCAACTATTTGTTTGACAAATTATATAATTGTGTATTGTATGCATATTTGATAATTACACAATCGCTAATATAAAATGTTAATATCATGATTTCAGTATCAGTTATCCAGAATCGATTGAAATTCTCTCGTAGTTATTAAATATTTCATTAAATAAATACAGGGAAAGCATAATCGACGCACGATTATCCTCTAATAAATCAACAATCTGCTGTGTCAATTATTTTCTGCATTCTCGTTACTAAAAAAATATTTTCAAAGCGCCCCTGTCTATTATATATTAATTATATGTCCGATCTAATAAGCATAATCTAAGTCTAACAATAAATATAAAAAGGATAAATCTACTAAAGCTTCATATTTGAAAATGGCACATTAAATAAAATGTTTATTTTGTCACAACAACATCTATAGCTCTCAACTCATTCAAATAATAAAATTAAAAGAGTAAATATCCGCGCTATAATTAGTGCGCTGTAATTCTAAACGTTGCATTACAGCACACTAATTCCCACGGTTATTTATTCTCATTTGCCTAGTTTTAATTTTATTGTTTATTTTGCAACTATTGGAAGTTTTCTTCCTCTAGATCTACTTGTGTAATCTAATTGTCCATAACATTTTAACAGCGTCTCTCTACACAAGCATTATTTCAATAGATACAATGCAATAAATAATAAAGTCCGTACTGCGTATAAATCTAAAACGTTATTCTACCTTCAATACTCT